GCATAGACGTCTTTACTGTATGTTGTCTTTTTTGAACTTGATGTAAACTAATACTTTTTTTTTATCTCAAGGAATAAAATAGATTTTTGCCTCAAATTTGTGAAGATAAGCTAGTACTAACTCACCATTTAAGAGAAATCAGTTATCATCTTAAGAAGACAAAGAAAATACTATCCTAAAAGAGAATATTCATCAATCATGCGTTATATTGCCTGCAGTAAAATCAGCGGAGTCATGCGTCATTCATATACAAGTTGCGGTATACTATAAACGCCCAGCCTCTGCAGATATTTCTGGGTTCCCTGTAACCAGGACAGTTTGTCCGTTGCCGCTCAGTCTGTGCCAATTGTTCACTAAGCTTATTTCAAACAAAATTTGAGAGAATACCTTTGAAGTTGGATTTAGTTTAGACTCATTGCGCGCATGTACAAGTAGGCTTTAGAGCCATTCCCTCTCCAATTAATCAGCAATGTAAAGATAGCCTTTGGTTTTGTATTAGGGTTTCGAAGGATTGCGAATGGAAATATAGAAAAGGGCAATGTGATGGTGAGCCATACATGACTCCTCTAGGAAATAAATATTGCAAAACACTCATAGTTTCCATCGAGCATAAAATTTTCTTAGTTTCAAGTGAGACTACGCAATATTGAGGGTGGAAAAGAGGCTTCTATCTCGGACACTACTTATGTAAGGGTGCATAACCTGGGAACTAAGGAAGTCGCACACCGGTCTACTTCATAGTCTCAAACCGGATGCGTGAAAACGAACCTCACTTTCTCGTATCCCTCCGTTAAACTCAATCCATTCGTTACTTTCATTACTACTTATCCTTTGTAGAATCAAAAGGTTTACATTTATTTACCTGTATTTTTTCTAAAAAACATTAACTTATCTCGACTTGAGACTTCGTTATTAACCATCTAAATTGCTTGATATGTAGTGATTCCAGCTCTTGAGACGATATCCTTGATATTTATGTCAGAACTCTCCCACATTCATCCATGCTTACGTGCCTACATAATC